AAGAGGTGAGCTAAACAGTGAGAACGCGAGGGGGTCCCCCAACAGGCCCACCGCGCGGCGAAGCAAGAGACGCAGACGCGGCAAAGGGACGAGTCGCAGCGCATACTGTAGCGGTTAGGCGCGTCAAGGTTAAAGAGAGTGTACCATACTACGTCTCATATCGCACAGCACGCGCTGCAACTCGTCTCTTTGCCGCATCTGCGTCTCTTGCTTCGCCGCGCGGTGGGCCTGTTGGGGGACACCCAGATGGCAGCAGCCGCATGAAAGGCTGGACCGGATTCAGCAGTGGTGTCGATGCTGGCTCGAGGAACTGAAGTATTTTGCCGGGTTGTTGTTGTTGTTGATATGCCGGTTGTGCGAATGTGGCTGCCGGTTGTGAGAAGATCTTGATTAGTGTTGTAGTACGGTGTTTGTACAGGTGCTGGAATTTGTAACTGTGGTATTTGCTGTTGTTGTGCAGGGAATCCGCTCTGAACTTGAGCGTTCCCATTGTATTGTGCGAACGGTTGAGCTAGATCAGCTGGTCGTTGTGCAGATTGCTGTTGATTTCATTGGGTCGTGGTGCAGATAGAAGGGGTGCCAATGTGGACGCACCAATGTACTGCTGCTGCTGCTGCTGCTGTGGGTATTGAATGGCTGGCAGTTGACTTTGTGGAGCTGCGAGTTGCACGTTGTGGTACGGTTGTTGGAAACGTACTTCCCTGGGTGCCTAAAAGGATTCATAATTATTATCGATGAATCCTAAATAGAGAAACCCCTCAAACTACGGTACCTCTTGCTGTGTTTGTGTAGGTACACCAGCTTGTCGAAGGGTGACTGAGATTGGAGATTTGTTGGGTAAGTTCTGGAACTTCACGGGCTCAATAGATCCTGTGCTGCCCTGTTGGTATGGAAGTGGTAATCGGTTGTTGTTCTGATAGACACCTTCCAATCGATTCTTCTAGATAGGCAATCATTCAGAAGTGATTCAAAATGAAATGAATAAGAAAGTCTCACCGAGTACACGTCCCCAAACGGTCGTGGACAGGCATCGCAGGTTTTTTGACACATTTTTGCAATGAATTTTACGTCACAGTGACTACATCGTGCTCGTTCGCATGAAGGTAAATCGGCAATTGAAACTCCCAGTAATACGACCAGGACCCATAACCTCTTCATACCCTGGAAAGGAGGCGTTTGAATGCCTATTGAAGTAGAATATAAAAGAAATAAGCGCGAGTCGATTGTCAATTTTTGCATAATAAACAATAGAATTGGAATCAGTCGAGGGATTTCAAATTTATTCGTTGAGCCCTTAGCTGTATTAATTGTTTACCTATTGTACAGCGGTGACAAGGATAGGTAACAATTGGCGGACAGTTACAATAGAAAACAATAGAATAGATGAAAGATCATAGATTGAATAATTATAAAAAGCATAATGTAATGATACTAGAGGCAAAGAGGGAAGGGGTGGGGGAAGGGTCCGCGGCTCGCCAGGAGGAAAGGGCAGTGCCCGGCCAACTGCCGAGCCCACGAAGGCTGCGATACACCATAGGATCCCGCCACCTCTTCTAAGAGACCAGCCCCACACCTCCTGATCTAGTCACGGTCACATGGGAGGGGGGGGGGAAATGAGAATAATTTGCAGAAAAGGAAGATTACATTAGTTACACCCCATATCAAAAGAATAACATTGGGGCTAAATGGCAGAATCGACTGGCCTTCTAGACACAAAATGTATAATCATGTGGGCGTTCCGGGTAGTCCCACCCAAATCGCCAGGCGCTTCTTCCTTTAGTTTTCGTTGATATCAACACCTTCAAAATTCACGACGCTACTCGGTAATTGCGAATTCCTCATTTGTGGTTAAAAGGTCGCACGCATAAAAAATAGAATGAAAATGTTTTCCATTGTTGATTTCAACCCATCGTTAACCATATGACAAACAAAAGCGACGCCGTATTAGGCCACTTTATTGATCACATCGCATGTTACGGAAAGATCCTTAGGACAAAACTACCGAGGGGCCGGAACCGAGAATAAGAATTACTCTACGCGCCCAGAATCTCTCTGTCCAAGCATTGTCCCGGTTTCGCAAAAACATCATAATACGCGTTTAAATGCACTTCCTCGTCTCATGCCCCATCAATCGTGCCGATACACCGTTGTTTATACATTGCTGATCAACCTTTTAAAACTACTGACAATACTATTTCTAAGTTTGTTGTTTGCTTATCTTTTCTGCGTGATCGACACTAATGTCGTTGATCCCCACGTTAAACGGTATCCGCAACTATTGCACATAGGTTCACTGCAAGTTGCATCAATTACTCTACGCTTTTAAATGAAGTCAAATACGTGCGCATATAAAAAAAACAACATCGTCGTCTGAAGCTCTTCTTAACCGGACTCATGGGTACATAACCAAAAACAAAATTTGACATTTATAAATGATTCTGAAAATCAATCGCTGTTGAAGCGGCAGGAAATTCACCTAAAAAGGCATGTTGTAGGAAAGATATTGTGAGGTGGTAATTTGGCTGCTGCTATTGGGAGCTCTCCATTGCATTTTTACGATTCGAAACCAATCTGTGGTGCATGGCGTATCCTGTGCTGATTAATATCATGTGCTTGTTATAGTTTATGATAAACGAAGTCTCTACCATTAGAAACCGAGCCACGATTAGAAAGCGAGCCACGATTCGAATAGTGAACGTCAGAAGAAGTAGGAATGAGGAGGAAAGGATAAAGCACCTCTCCGTACCGGTCGGAATTTGCAGACTTGGCGTCGAGTAGGCAATTAAAGGAAGAATTCTGCGATTTGAATGAGACGTTTGGCAATTACCTGCGCCATGCATAGCCACATAGTTTGGAACTAGAAAGCGATGAAGCGAAATGAATCGAATGGATGGTGGTGAGATTTAGAATGGATAGTTGAAGGGACATTCGTAAGCTGAAGGACTTGTTTCGAGATTGCTTGAGAGTAGTGCGTGGTTCGGGCAACGGCTGTCTGAAGACCAGTTCTGCTCCCGCCTGTCGCTCGACATCTCGATCCCGTTCTCAGTCTCCTTCGGGGGATCTAATATGGTCAATCGGCCCCCGCTTGTGATTTCTCTCCGCTTTCTATCCGCTTCCGGCATCGATATTTTCTTTCTCGATCTCGATTCACCGCTATCCGTTAATCTCGCTTCGATGGAATGCTTGCAGTTTATCTTGTTGAGAAGCAAAAACGATGTGGTCTTCTTTTGAATACTTGTGACACATAGAGGACTCCCGCTTGTGTGCGTGCTTATTTTTCGACCGGGTTTGAGGATCGAATATTCAACTGGAACCGGAGTCCGCGAAAAAACCTGATTATTCTGAAAGCAGCTTTATTAAAACGAATCCAAATTCCGGTCGATTGGGATCAGGCTCACATGGAAGTAGTACGGAAGTATTTCCAATGTCGGACAAGCCTGTATAAAGAACGGAATTCAGAGTCGTACGATCTATGCGGTGGATGAAGGAGATGGAAAGTCGCGGTCTTCTTGCAGATGGATACTAAAAACTGGGTAACAACCACGACTTAGTTGATTATAAGCAATGTGATCGATGTGAGCGATCTGGTACTTACTGATTACCTGACTACTGCA